AAATGCTTTGTGAACTCAGGGCCAGTCTCAAATGCTTTGAGTTGATTCCTAATATACCATTTCATTCATACAGAGACAAGTCAGTGATTTCGAGGAAATCGGAAACTCTTTGTATAATTTATTTGTCAAGAATTGATCACCGACAGCATGAATTTTTCCAAGATTCCGAAACCCAAAATCTTTTTTATATCTTTCATCCACCTTGCCTTCACTTTGAAAAAAAAAAAGACATTTTTTCAAAATGGATAACACTATTAGAAATGTGGAAATTCAGGCGACATTTATGATTAGAGAATAATAAAAATTCTTGTCCAGTTTTGATTTTCTTTCCCATTAACTTGTAACCACAAACTCTCCATTTTATTTAAAAAAAAACTAACAACTAACAATCTGATTAAAATACAGATCTATATTTCATTTCGATTTGTTATACTTTCGATGGCCTACACTACATGAAGATCTAACCAGCTGTAGTGGGCGATCGCGTCAGGGGTGATATGAGCGGCTTTTGACCCTATGATGTCAGACATTGATTAATCAATCAGCGTCGACATTTCTACTGGTTTACCCACAGTTCTGTGCATCGCATGTCAAGAACTCGCCGTAACAGACCGTATCATTGGCTAATTCATCCAGAATGTGGGTTATATAACAACCCCTCCAGATCCTAGTGTAGAAAAGACAAGTAAAACAAAATATTAAACTGTAAAAAACGAAACGAAATAGGATCTGTGTTTGAATCAAATTGATCAACCTAATTGACACTAAAGTCCTTTACACATAATATACATATATATATACAACGATCTAAACTTAAGCAATAAATTCCACAAAAAAATGTTCACAAAACTTTGAATAATAATAATAATAATAATAATAATAAAAACAACTCAACAGAATTAATATGATAAATAGATCACTATATTTCACAACAAAATTTAATTCATTTTAATTAATCACAACTTCATGTACAATTTGGAAGAAAATAATCACAATTTTTATAATATTTGGAAATAAACAGACTTCATTGTTCAGCGAACTCCGAGCAAAGCAATATATATACGTTTTTTATCACATCGTTATCATATATTTGGCATTGCCCAATCCTAATTACGTAAACTATTCTAATTAGTGCTTTTAGAGGATGTTCGATTGTCTGTCCGGGACGTCCAGAATTACAATCAAGTGACACAGAATTGAGTCCTGTCAATCCATACATGGGAGGGTAACCTATTCTAATTAGTGCTTTTATTAGTAACAGATAGGGTATGTTTGATAGTCAGTCCGGAACGTCCAGAATTACAATCAAGTGACGCGGAATTCAGTCCTGTCCGAGTTCTGTCAATCCCTACAGCGGAGGTGGTGCGAGTTGACTTTGGACGTAATTAAACACAACAAATATGTTTTATCCGTCATGGTTGGTTGAGATATTTTCTAATGAAGTCGATGCATGCGTTGTAGCTGAAAATTCCCCTTTTCACTCGATTGTCACAATTTTTGGGATTGAGAGACTTCATTTCCGGAACGTTAAAACAAATATCCCCATATTAGGAAAGGACTGATAATTCAAAGGATCACATATTTAATTAAATTCACAGATTTTTTTTTATTATCATATAGTTGGGAAGTGATTGATTATTAACTATTCTGACAGATAGTTGTGTAGGGATTGATAATTAACTATTCTGACTGTGTTTTATAGTTAGGGAGGGACTGCTTTATTATTAACAGTTAGTTCGGAAGGAATTAATAATTAGGTTCATAGTTATGCTTACAAGCATTTACACATTTAATTAACAGAAAATTTGTGTCATATATGTAATTGGCATTGCCCTATCATAATACTAATTTGTGCTTTTATTTCTATCAGATAGTTGGAGAAGAATTGATAATTAAAATATTCATAGTTATTCTAATGAGATAAAACATGTATAACTAATGGTATATATCTCGTATTGCCCAGTCCTAATGTTTGTATGACTATTGGTATATATCTCATATTGCCCAGTCCTAGTGTTTGTATAACTAATGGTATATATCTCATATTGCTCAGTCCTAATGTTTGTATAACTAATGGTATATATCCCGGCATTGTTCAGTCCTAATGTTTGTATTACCTGGTATATATATATATATATGGCGTATTGCCCAGTCCTAATGAGAGTATACATGTATAACTAATGGTATATATCCCGGCATTGCTCAGTCCTAATGTTTGTATTACCTGGTATATATATCGCGTATTGCCCAGTCCTAATGAGAGTATACATGTATAACTAATGGTTATAAGCTGGTATTGCCCAGTCCTAATGTTTTTAAATCTATTCTAATTATCTACTGTTCATGAGCACTAATTTGAATATGTGACAAAAATAGGAAAAATATCAAAATCTTTAATTAAATAACATGCAATTAAATCATTTTATAATTAATAAAATTAAAACAATTTATTTCGACAGCAACATCATAAACATGCAAATCATACTAAGCTTTATAATATCCAAGTCAACAATCTACTCACACTTCAATTATACAAATTCAGATTTACACATAAAAAATAATTGAAAATGCCCAAGTTTCCTGTTTTCTTAAAACCAGCCCTATAAAAGATTCTTGAGTTTTTCCTATTCAAGTTATTTTTTCAATATTTAAAAGCGAAGTTGTATTCTTCATTCACTGCTGGTCATTTTCTAATTGGTTTTTCTACATTCAAAAGAAAAAATGTGACCTACTCCCACAAAACCAGGCGTTTGTCACACAACTTCATTTTGTACTACAGGCACAAAAGCTTAGGCTGTGGACTATTCAAATGACCAAGAACCTGGTTTTGTGGGAGGAGCTCACAAATAACATGCATGAATACAGCTTTAATCACAGTGATGGTCTACATAAGCATTAAAAGTTTTGTAATACACTAATAGCAAAGATTTCACTGTGCCCAATTTAGCTCAGCAGTTTAATAAGGCCACACAAAAAAAATACTCTGGTTGCCAGATACGACCGTGCCAACAGAAATGGTCTGTGTCATTTGTTTTATTTTACGATCAAAATGAATTCTCGAGTTGACCATTATATCCTTCCCGAGAACTATGACCAAAAGTATTTTCCATGGGTAGGTCTGCGCGCATTCTTTGATTTAAATCGCCAGCACTATCAATGCTTTGACAATGAAAATGGGGTTTAACGTCCTACTGTTATGCTCCGACTGGGCTAATGAAGACAGACATACGCCATACAGTGTGCAATGCCAGAAATTTTGCCTGGGCAGTGGCACTATGGCCTACTCTTATATCGAATTCCAACTGCCAAGGGATCTTTTACGTACACATCAATGTATACACAGGACCTTAGTTTTTCACACGGTCCGAAAGACTATATGTTGTCCCTTGCCAGGCCATTATTTCAAAATCTTTTTCATTTTTCATATTAAGCCTTAAATAAATATCAAATCTGTAATAATTTTGTATGTTTCTTAAAATTGCTCTAAAAAAAATAGCCAGATTCTGACAAAATGATTGTCGAAGGACGAGAATATTTTTTTTTTGTGTGGCCTCGTGTGCAGCAGATATATCCTATGTCAGCCGTGATCTGGTGTAAAAAAAAAAAATATTTGTGCATGATTTTACTAATGATTTTAAAAAGACTTATTCCTGATTTTATACATTCAAATTTAAAGTTACTAAAAATAAGCTAAAATAGAATTCGTCGAAATATTACAACATTTCAATTACAATAACATGTATCCAATCAAAATGATTATTATTTAGAATAGTTTTATGACATCAAATATGTTGCATCCAATCAAATTACAGCTTTATGAGTATTATAGTATTTTGCAATAAGCCAAAATTAGCTGTAGAGTTGTACGAAATTATTGGAGAAATAAATTTTAGAATATCATAGGTCAGTGATTGCTCTATATATAGGCTCTAGACTTTTAATGTAAATTTAACTATACCTATAGCCATTCAAATTAAGTCACGATAAGTATCAATGGTCAGTGAGCTAGGATGTGAAATAAATAGAATCTGGACTTTTAATGTAAATTTAACAATGATATATCTATAGTCATTTAAATTAAGCATAAATATCATAGGTCAGTGAGCTAGGGTGTGAAATAAATAGAACCTGGACTTTTAATGTAAATTTAACAATGGTATATGGAGTTAGGATATGAAATATATAGAACTGGGTATTTTTAATGTAAATTTGATCAGAATCCAGTCATTAAATATGAATGAATTGATTTGTTTTCAGTAGATGATCTAATCTAAATTAATACACAACTCCTTATTCATCCATAATGGTATCTCTAACTTAATTTTTTATCCGTAAACATTGTTTTAATCATCTTAATTTGTAATGAAAACTACCCAGCTTTTATCTTAATTAAATTTGAATAAGCAAAATGTTTATTGACCTTGTCTAAGGCATGTCTCTCAAAAAGAAACTATAATTTACTATCTTGCTTCTACCCTATTTTTGTGTAATGGCAGTGCTTGTTTAAAGAATTCAATAATCCTAGTCACAATTTCAATAGAACTGTCATTGTATAAATATATCTGCTTTTGGATGTTTGTTTCTGTATATTCAGATTAGATGATATCAAATACATAATTTTGGTAAACTAATAGATTAACTATAAAGCTAAGTTCTATACCCAGGGGCCTGTTTCATAAAATTTTAACTAAGATAAAATCCAAATTTTAGTAATTTGATTGGATAATATTAGATTGATTTTAGTGCTTAGTCAATCAAAATTGAAGTATCTACTAAAATTTGGATTTTATCTTTAGTTAAGATTTTGAGAAACTGGGTCCAGTTAATTTCATGATCTGTCAGTCAATACTGGCAGATAAGTCTGAAGCAAGAACCCTGATATGATCCGAGGATCAACTTAAAAATGATATGGGCAGAGGAGTGTATTTTTTGGCCTGATCGTGGCGATTGAAATTCGCCAGCGAATTTTTACGAACAATCACGAGTGGGCACATGTAAACAGACACACGTGCGATTTTAAAAACTGGCGCGATTGGGCGAAAAGATACGCTTGTCTGCCCTAGGTATTAGTCAAAAACCTTTAATATCTTGCCATTATTATTATCAATCATACTATATTTTACACAATTCTCATTTAAACTTGAATTTCATATTTCATAATATCATTCTAACTTATAAAAAATTGCACTAGCCTAATCTATAAAAGGAATATTTAATTCTTAATTAAAAGGCTAGATGCGCCATTACCATTTTTTGCTAAAATATCTAATTTTTCACTGCATAATCCACGCTAAAATATCGAATTTCTCACGGCTTGAACCACGCTAAAATATCTGATTTCACATGGCTTGAACCACGCTAAAATATTTAATTTCTCACGACTTGAACCATGCTAAAAGATACTCAGATTATTTAACATTTAATTAAGACAAAACAATCTAAATACTGTACTAACATTAGATAATCTGCTTACTTAGAATCAATCTAGGTCCATTAGGTTTCTCATCTACCAATAAAAGATGGCGCGCTGTCTTGTCATAGTGAATAGCATGATGGATAAAATTTTAATTTATCATAACTTTGTAAATACTGAACTGAATTGAAGCATATTTAGAATGATATTCCATTAATGAATGGAATCGAACCATATTTAGAATGATATTCCATTAATGAATGGAATCGAACCATATTTGGACTGATATTCCATAAATGAATGGAATCGAAACCATATTTGGACCGATATTCCTATTAGGGATTAAACTGTCACAATAGTGAATACTGTAAACCTGGGTATTATTTAATCTTGTGTATCTAGCACTAATTTCTTTAACATTCATTCAATATCAAATCTTTGTTTAAAAATTCATAAAAATCATTTAAAATCATCTAATTTTTACTTGTGTCCAGTTTAAAGCTGACCATTCAATTTTGATAATGAGCATTTAATTTCTCGATCACTGTTAAAAAAAACTAAACAACCCAATTAATATATCATTGATGTATACCCGGGTTACAGTGATAGATTACAATGGAATCCTATAACGCATCTAGCCTTTAATTAATAAGTCTAAAAACTCCTTACTTACCCTTGTGAGCGACATCTTCTATATGGGTTAGTATATTGAGCTGCAGCTAGATATAGTCTATTTCATAAAAGGGTATCTAGTTCATGTTCAGTATATAGTTTATTTCATAAAAGGGGTACCGACATATATAATTCATGTACAAATTATCTTGGTAAACGGTTCAATTAAAGTTTATTTCATAAAAGGGATATTACCTATATATATATATAATTCATCCTACGTAATTCAATTATAATCTATTTCATAAAAGGTGTACGTACATGATTCACTTATAATTTATTTCATAAAAGGGTTACCTATACATATATATATCTATAATTCATCGTACGTGATTCAGTTATAATCTATTTCATAAAAGGTGTACCTATATATAATTCATGTACCAAACTATAATCTTGGTACAAGTTTAAGTTATAGTTTATTTCTAAATAAATCATAGCTACAAAACGTATATCATTAAATAATGTACATAAAAATTCTTACTATTTGACAGTGCTGACGTGACGTAAACTAAATTAGTGATGACATAAGAATCTATATTACAATAAACTATCGACAAGTTTCTCTATTTACATACATACCATACTTATTATGATAAAACGGATCAGAGACGAATTGGGGCGACATTGGGCCTTAGGCCTTAAACAAAGTTACAGACTATTCAATGTGCACCCGATTTCAAAAAAATTCTTGAATTCGGGCGACATTGGGCCTTGGGGCGTAAACACAGTTATAAACTATTCAATGGCTTGTTTACATTAAGCAGTGCCAAGCGAAGCACCACATTTTAAAACAATTGTTGAATTGGGGCGACATTCGGCCTTAGGACGTATACAAAGTTATAGACTATTCAATGTCTTGTTTACATCAGGCAGAGCCAAGCGAGGCACCACATTTCAAAACAATTGTTGAAATTGAGGCAACTTTGGGTCTTGGGACATAAACAAAGATGTCTTGTTTTGAGGGATCATTTACATCATGCAGAGCAAAGCGAGGCACCAAATTTCAAAACATTTATGAAAACAATCAAACAATTTCATCAATCCCTAGATAATGGCATCCCGAAACCCGTTGCCAAATAGTAAACTCTGGGCTGCGGATCTGACGGCCCAATGTCAAACTCGCCCCTGAAAACAGTGAGCACATAGTACTATTAAATATATATATAAATCTAGCAAGTGATTGGCAGACAGCTTTATTTTTTCTTCGATCCCGCTGTTTTTGACTTGGATGCGGACAGGTTGGAGTTCGACGACGAATGAGCTAAGCCACTGGAGCTACGACGACTTGTCGCTGAATTATTAAGATTTTTTGTGCCTTTTCGTTTTTTGTCCCATATTAGTTTATCGGGTCTGACGAAAATTCCGTGTCGGGACCGACATTTAAAATATCTCTGTTTGTTCACGGAACCATCATTCTTTCCTGCAAAAATTTTAGAAATTATTATAATCTTTGAATGGAATTTAGCAATGGCCGCCCTCGTTAGAGGTAAAGGGTCATAATTTATAGGTGTCACCATAAAATGAAATGGGGTTTAACGTCCTATTGTTCTGCTCCGAATTGGGCTAATGAAGACAGGCATATGCCATACAGTGTGCTATTAGGGAAATTTTGCCCGGACAGCAGCACTACGGCCTACTCTTATATCGAATTCCAACTGCACGCCAATATGTACACGGGACCTTGGTTTTTCGTCCCATCCAAATGACTAGACAGCTGTCCTTGTCAGGCCCTTAGTCCTGCATCACTGACAAGGGGGAACCACGTCGGAAGATCTGGATGGACTTTCTCGGCCAAGGCTAGCGAACTCAAGGCTAGCGAGCCAGCGTCCTACCCACTTGGCCACTGGGACCCCCTGTCACCATAAAGCAGACAGTCCCATGTGACCTCATTGTTTACCTTACAGCATTGTTTTCCTGTACATACATTACGAACCCTTGTGTTGACAAACGTTAGTTATTGTCGTTAATATGGAATTTAATCACGATACTTCGATAGACGGTACTTTTACCATCGATAAGGTCACATGGAACCAAGTTTTTACTAGCGACGTCTGGCGGGAATTTTTTCAGCTAGGACACCAATTTAACATAATATAACACAACACAGTTTTTAGCAGTGGGAGGAAACCGAGGACCCGGAGAAAACTCACAAGGTTGGATAGGCAACCCTACTCCTTGCCACGTACAAGCAGGGAATCGAAACCACACCAGTTGATTCAATGACAGACTTTATGATACAGCACGCACGTGCTAACCATTTGGCCATCCAACCTCCAACACCATACAGTGTGCTATGAGGGAAAGTTTACCCAGACAGCAGCACTCCAACCTTAATTCCATCTGTCAAGGGTTCTTTTATGGGCACGCTAATGTGTACATTGGACCACATTTTTTCGTATCCTTCTAACACTGTTCTTGCTAGCCCCTGCACCACTGTCCAGGGGGAAACCATACTGAAACTTTCTTGGCCAACACAAGGAGTGAACCCGAGACCTCCTGTTTAGCGAGCCACTCTTTACCAAAAGAAATTGGTCAACTTCTGAATTGGTCTATGGTTAGGAGCAGGCAAAAATGCATGGAGATGGAGAAAGGCAGTCAATGGACTTAACCAGTTATCTTGTGACTCTGTTTACATGAAACAGCATTTGCAAGGGACTCTGCTTATATGAAACAGCACCTGCAAGAGACTCTGCTTACATGAAACAGCAGCTGCAAGAGACTCTGCTTACATGAAACAGCAGCTGAAAGGGACTCTGCTTACATAAAACAGCACTTGCAAGGGACTCTGCTTACATAAAACAGCACCTGCAAGGGACTCTGCTTACATGAAACAGCACCTACAAGGGACTCTGCTTACACGAAAGAGCACCTGCTTACATAAAACAGCACCTGCAACCTCACCTGCATTGCAAGGTACTTTTAAATCAATCTACTAACCTTCAGGTTGGTCCAATTCTACGCCAATCCAGTTACCAGCAGCAAAATCAACTTGACCAACAAATCGTACTAGACCAGATTTAGGTACTGTTCCTCGAGATGAGGTTACAGTTACACCTTCTCCTTCCTGTATCCATGATGGTACAGGTATATCCATTAAACGATCCAGATCCGCTCGACTTCCAAACGAACATTCCGACATAGAATCATCAAAACCTACAGTAAATAAAAACCAACAAGTCGTGAGAAGGTGAATCGTGATACACTATTGACAATCATTGTCCTATTTATCTGCATCGACTGGGTAGTTGAAAATTGAGAAATCTACTCAACACAACTAGTTTATTTCTGAAATAAAATGGAAAATCCACTGTAAATGAGAGAGAGAAATGGGGTTTAACAACAACTCGACACAATTTAGGTCATTTCGGGACTAACGCATGGTTCAATTTTATTTCAATAATTTACTTGCGCGTAGAGGTCTTTAAGGGGGGACCTGGAGAAAACCCATAAGCTTAGACAGGCGACCCTACTCCTTGTCACTTACAACCAGGAAATCAAAACCATGACAGTTGACTCAATGACACAGCGCACGTGCTAACCATTCGGCCATCCAACCCCCCTCTCCACTGTAAATGGTTCTTTTACGTGCACACCAATGCGAATACAGGACCTAGGTGTTTTATCCCATCTGAACGACTAGACACTGACACTGACTCTCTGTCCTGCACCACTGGCAAGGGGAAACCATGCTGGAAAATCGGCGCTACTGCACTTTTGCACCTCTACCAGGGGATGTTAAGGGGGACTAGCCATGATCTCACACCAAATTTCAGCTGAATCGATCAATAACTTTTTATTTTACCGACCTTTTAGCTTCTACAGAGAGATAAGTTTATCCGTTAGACGCCATTTTTTTTGTTGACTATTTAGACACTAATAAGACACCGAGACGAATTCAGACATCTGCGCTTCCTGCCTAACGCTGCAGTTCGTAATAATAATAATAATTTTCATATAATTTAATTTTTGCGATAAGCCACCATTTTCTATAAATGACTTTTTGGCGTTGATTTGTTGGATTGGCCTTTTGTGTGATTATCGCTGTGACCTGGTAGAGGTGTGAAAGTGCAATAGCGCCAGAAAATCTTGGGGAACTTTGTCGACCAACAGCACCGGGATTGAACCAGCATTTCATTAACTAAGCCACTGCAGCTCCCATTGAGAGAGAGAGAGAAAGAAATGGGGTTTAACGTCCATTAACACATGGTTCAATTTTATTTCAATAATTCACTTGTGCTTAGGGGTCTTAGCAGTGGGAGGAAACCGGAGGACCCGGAGAAAACCCACGTACAACAGAGGAATTGAAACCCCGCCAGTTGACTCAATGACAGGCCGTATGATACAGCGCGCATGTGCTAACCATTCGGCCATCCAACCCCCCGCAGCTCCCTGGTCAAAAATATACATACCTTGTACTTGTTCATCTGTAAAATGAAGACTGCTTCTACGATCCGGATCCAATGGCATACCACGATGAACTGAATAGGTCTGAGGTGAACCCACGCAAGACACTGGACGTGGTCGACCTGCAGACCCTTTTCGTCTAAGAACGTCTGCGCGATCGAGAGATTTCACCTCATGATCTATGACTAGCGGTTTGACAGGCGTTTTATTGGTTGATTCTAAATTGTTAGCACTAATCTGTTCATTGATTGGTTTATTCAAATGAGACTCATCTGCGATTGGTTTATTTAAATGAGACTCATCTGCGATAGGTGGACTTAAATCCTCTGTTTCCTCGCAAGTGTCTTGAAGTTTCTCAAGTTCTTCGAGAGCGTTAACGCTGTACAGATCGTTATCGGGGACATTACATATTGCACTTTTATTATCAAGAGTCACATGATCCTCGAATACAGGAAGTTTCGGTCTTGTTATGATGGGTTTTTTCGTCTGGTTTGAGACATTCGGTTTCTTTTCACTGTTTTTATTTTCGGCTTCGTTGGTTTCTTTAAAGAAAGGATCAGACGTAATAGGGGGCGATGGGATAGGTTTTAGCGGGGAACCAGGAATATCAGGCACGCCTTCATCCAGCAGAGAATCTGATCGGCGATTCTTTAAATTTTCATTGGAAATTTGTTGATCTTCGTCGACTTGCTCAGGAGCAGAAACATCTTTAGAGTTATTGTTCTTGTTTCCACGCTCTTCAGAATCGCTCTCGCTACTGGTTTCTGTACTTGCCGATTTCTGTCGCATCTTGTTATTTTTGCCGTCCGCTTGTTCCTCCATGGATTTAACGCTCATTGAATCTTCTGACGACAGAGTCAGCGTTGATACAGCCTGTGACGCGTAACCACTTGATGTCATACTAGGCGTATAGCTCTTTGTTTGACCTTCGACTAGGCTGTCATTGGTTGACGAATGGGTCATATTATTCACCGACCCCTGTGTCCGCGTCTGTTGACTTTGAAAAGATTCAAATTCTTGAAAATCATCCGAGTCGTGAGGGTCGTCGTCAAGATGATGAATTGGCTTCACACCAAAATCATCTTCATCTTCTTCATCTAAATCCTACAAAATAATGAACAATAATAAGTAAATGAAAATAATGAACACTAAGTAAATGAAAAGAGTGAACAATAAGTAAATGAAAATAATGAACAATAATAAGTACATTTAAATGAACAATAAAAAGTACATTTAAATGAATAATATGTACATGATAATGAACAAAATAAGTAAATGAACAATATCAAACAATAATAAGTAAATGAACAATAATAAGTAAATGAACAATAATGAACAATAATAAGTAAATGAAATGGAGTTACCGCCCCCTACTTTTCTACTCCATCTCGGCTAATGAAGATGGGTATAACCCAAGCAGTGTGCTATGAGGGAAATATTGACAATGGGAAAACATGCTGGAGAATAGTGAGGACCAACACAAGGACATCCTGGATAGTGTGCCTACGCTTTACTCAATGAGCTACACACAAATGTGTTATTGAAAAGTAGAGAAATGGGGTTTAAACGTCCACAGAACACAAACTAGTTCATATTGGGACTAACATATGGTTCAATTTAATGTCCATAATTCGGTTGTGCGTAGGGATCTTTAGTAGTGGGAGGAAAAACGGAGCACCCTGAGATAACCCACAAGGTTGGACAGGCGACATAACTCTTTGTCATGTGCAAGCTGGGAATTGAAACCACGCTACTTGACTTAATAAAGACCTTATGATCAGAAGTACATGACTTAGACCATTTGGTCACCCAACCCTCCGATCTCTCCAAGATCTGTTTTAGTCATGATATTTTTATTACTTATCCCAATGAAATGAAATGGAAGTTAACGTCCTACTGTTCTGCTCTGACTGGGTTAATGAAGACGGGCATACACCATATTGTGTGCTATGAGGGAAATTTGTTCGCAGAGTGGAACTACTGACTTATTTCTAATTCCAACTGCCAAGGGATCTTTTACGGGCATGTCAGCTTGATCAGAGGAACTCTTTTATTGTCCCATTCAAGAGACTAGACACTGTCCTTGTCAGGTCCTTCATCTGGCCCTGTTCTGCTCCGGCTGCGGTAATAAAGATGGGCTTAGGCCATGTATATCGAATTTCAACTGCCAAGGGATCTTTTATGTGCCCACATATTGTGTACACTGGACCTCGGTTTTTCGTCCCATCCGAACGACTAGACACCTGTCCTGCATCACTGAAAATCACTACAGTTCTTACTAATAGTGATACTTACCTCTTCAGTACTCTGTCGTAAAAAGGTTTTTTGTTCTCGTTGATGCGTCTGAGTCACTACTTCTTCTGGAGTTACCCCCTTTTATCGAAAAGACTATAATTATTAATGGATTGATTTCAAATTTGGTATGAACTTACCTCTTCAGTACTCTGTCGTAAAAGGGGTTTTTGTTCTCGTTGATGTTGTTCTTCTAGTAGCGTTGACATGGGTTTTACTAGTTTTATAGAGTGGGGACTTAAAGCACACTTTGGACTAGCTATAATCAAATAAACAATTTATTATTAGTTTAAATTATTAGTTTAATCATTCAAATATCTGACTTTAAACTAGCTATTATCAAATAAACAATATATAATTAGTTGAAATTATTAGTTTAATCATTCAAATTAGTCTGAAATATTTGACTTTTGACTCATTCCATGGCAGTCACGATCACTCCAGTCTAAAGTCTTGGTGCTTTGTAATGAATGAATATTGGTTGGTTGGGACAAAATACTGTGAATTGTCTATACAGTGTGAATAGAGAGAAATGGGGTTTAAAGTCCACTCGACACAAACTAGATCATTTTGGGACTAACACATGGTTCAATTATATTTCAATGATTCTCTTGCGTGTAGGGGTCTTTAGCAGTGGGAGGACATTTTGGTAATAGCCAGAGTCAGTGTTTTGTCAGATATTTCAGACTAGACTCAGAACTACATGTAAGAATTAGCATTGGAACATATAACTTAGTTCATTCACATATTTCTGGGTTCTGTTTCTCGAAATCATAACTAAAGATAAAATCCAAAGTTTAGTAGATACTTCAATTTTGATTGGCTAAACACTAAAATCAATCTAATATTAACCAATCAAATCAATAAATTTGGATTTTATGTTAATTAAAATTTCGTGAAACATGCCTATATTATATACAATCTAAGGCCACAAAAAAAAATTCTAGTTCTCACACAATCCTTTTTAAAAACATAAACGAGCAAAAATTATTAACTTTGTTTTTATTTTTATTTTTTAAAATAAAAACGTGTCACACAGTCCATTTTTTGATGACGCAGCGAAGAGAGAGAAAAATGGGGTTTAACGTCCACTCAACACAAACTAGGTCATTTCGGGACTAACATATGGTTTAATTTTATTTCAATAATTCGCTTGCACATAGGGGTCTTTAGCAGTGGGAGGAAACCGGAGCACCCGGAGAAAACCCACGAGGTTGGACAGGCGACCATACTCCTTGGCACGTACAACCAGGGATTCGAAACCACGCCAGTCGACTCAATGACAGACTTTATAATACAGCGCGCATGTGCTAACCATTCAGCCATCCAACCCCCCCATGACGCAGCGGTCTCTGAGAACCAGAATATTTCTTTTTGTGTGGCCTAATCATATAAATATGTTAGAATGTTAATAGTTATCAATTTAACATAAAATATTCTTTTGACTGAAGGATAAGCTTGACTATTACCAATCTGATTAAAGCACTGATTCTATTTCGTTTCATTTTTTATAGTTTTTATAGTTCAAAATTTCATTTTTTACTTGTCTTTACTACACTAGGATCTGGAAGAGTTGTTATATAATAACCCATGATCTGATTGATGTGAGGGATTAGCCAATGAACCGGTCTGTTAATGCGAGTTCTTGACGTGCTGTGCACAGAACTGTGGGTAACCCACTAGAAACATCAACGCTGATTGATTAATCAATGTCTGATGTCATAGGGTTAAAAGCCACCCGTATGAACCCTGACACGACCTTCCACTACAAACAGTCTGATCTTCATGTAGTGAAGGCCGTCGAAAGTATAAAACGAAATATAGATCTGTATTTAAATCAGATTGGACTATTACTAAATGTATATTTTATGTATTTAAATGCCAGTCATATGAACATCGGTTTCCCATCAAAAATCATGGATCGTATAATATCACTTTAACTTAGGAATATAAGCTGACAAGGGTCAGAAAATGTTGACATATATTCAATAACAACCAACATTTAATTTATCATATTCTATCCATATTATTGTTCAACCCACCCACCCAGTTCCTTGGGTTATTCGTTTGGGCGTAAGTGTTGAAATTTTGCGACAGTCTCTGTTTATGTGATCTAAATGTCAAAGTACTATAGAGAGAGAGAGAGAGAGAGAGAGAGAGAGATGGGGTTTAACGTCCACTCGACACAAACTAGGTCATTTCAGGACTAACATATGGTTTAATTTTATTTCAATAATTCGCTTGCGTGTAGGGGTCTTTAGCAGTGGGAGGAAACCGGAGGACCCAGAGAAAACCCACGAGGTTGGACGGGCGACCCTACTACTTGTCTCGTACAACTGGGGATTCAAAACCATGCCAGTTGACTCAATGACAGACTTTATGATACAGCGCGCGCATGCTAACCATTCGACCATCCACCCCCCATAAAGCCCAATAGAACTTGGGTTGAAATAAAATGAAATGGGGTTTAACGTCCTACTGGACTAATGAAGACAGGCATACGCCATACAGTGTGCTATGAGGGAAATTTTGCCTGGACAGTTGCGCTACAGCCTACTCTTATATCAAATTCCAACTGTCAAGGGATCTTTTATGTGCACTCCAATGTGTACACAGGTCCTCGTTTTTTTGTTCCATCTAAACAACTATACGTTGTCCCTTGCCAGACCCTTAGTCCTGCACCACTAACAAGGAGCAACCATGCCGGAAAATCCTGATGAATTTTCTCAGCCAAACTTGAGTTGAGTAAAACAAAAATTGTTGTAGTCATCCAAACCATGATCAAAGTAAGGGATTGTGGCAAACTTCCAACACTTGCGTCTAAATAAATAAATTTAACAATGGTCCCTAAAAATAGGACATAATTCAGATCTACAGAACATCACAGTAAGGTTTATATAAATTCACTAAACCAATAAAATGGTCATGCAGAATAAATATTACTCTAGTGCAAAAAATAACAACCAACCCAAAACAAGAGGGTGTATCTAGAAAATAACCCAAACCAGGAGGGTGTATCTAGAAAATAACCCAAAAAAGGCGGGGGTATCTAGAAAACAGAGAGAGGTTCTGATCCCAAATTATTATGTCCTAGCTGCTTGAGTGGGGGTCCGGAGGCCGGAGGCTCGTGGAGCAACTCTAAGGCATAGTATAATATATTTAAATGAGATTTGAGAATAAATATCACTGTAGTGCAAAAAATAACCCAAATCAGGCGGGGGTATCTAGAAAATTTAGAGAGGTTCTAATCCTAAATTATTAAATCCTAGCTGCTTGAGTGGGTGTCCAGCGGTCGCAGGCCCCAGGCTGACGGAGTACCTTGGCTCACAGCATAGAGAGTGATTTAAGACATAGTATAATATATTTAAGTGAGATTTGAGACAGACTTGAACCATGTTGCTGTGTTTTCTTATATAAAAAAAATTTTGGTAACAAAGTGTAAACATCTCTATCTTTGACTTTTGTCAGCATAGAATTTGGGCGTAAAAATAATTTGGGCGCCCATATGTTTTTGGAACCAAAATGGCTCTAGATACTCCCCTGCAAACCCCCAAACTGTTTTGTTCAAAATCAAAAGTGTGTACATTTAAATGAGAGAGAGAAATAAGGCTTAACATCCACTTGATCCCCTACAAGACCCAAGGAATCACAAAAGGGGAAGGGGGTCAAATATGCTAATTTATGCTAATTAGTAACCATATAAAGGAAAACAATGAGCTGATCAAGGTATGGTGTTAAGGGGGTCATTCCTAATTGAATGTGAATGAAACGAAAATGAAATTTGTTTCAATGTCCTACTGTTCTGCTCCGACAAGGGCTAATGAAGACGGGCATATGACTTACAGTGTGCTATCAGGTAAATTTTGCCCGGACAGCAGCACTATGACCTACTCTTATATCGAATTCCAACTGTCAAGGGATCTTTTAAGTGCACGCCAATGTGTACACGGGACCTCAGTTTTTCGTCCCATCCGAACGACTAGACAGCTGTCCTTGTCAGGCCCTCCGTCCTGCATCACTGACAAGGAGGAACCAGGCTGGAAAATCTGGATTAACTTTCTCAGCCAATGCGGGAATCGAACACCCGACCTCCAGACTGGCAAGCCAGCATCCTACTCACTTAGCCACCATGACCCCTAATTGAATGCATGTGGAATCATTTCTTTTGTAATTTGTGATAAGTCCAACTGTCAATTTGACTGGGCTATGAATAATTTGAGGTAAATTTCATGGTTTGTAAGTTGTGGTGGGCCAAGTCCAAAAATGAGCTAGATTGACCAGTCTTTAATTGAAAGTAGGCCTGTTAACTAAATATAGGGTTAGGTCTAAAAGTCAAGAACCACTGCAGATTTCGTCATAGGTCACGAGATGTAATTAGGGTTTGGGCGCAGGTTCATCTCAGCTCACAATCTTGTCAACAATCACATGGCCATCATGTGTCGTTGGTTTTTTTCTGGTGTGCTTTCTCCTTGTCAGTTGTGCAGGACCCGAGAGCCTGACCAGGCACAACATAGTCGTCTGAGGTCCCGTGTATAAATTGGGATGCATGTTAAAGATCCCTTGGTAGTGTGAATTTGATATAAGAGTAGGCCGTAGTGCCATTATCCGGGAAAAATTTTGCTCCATAGCACACTGTATAATGTATGCATGTCTTCATTAGCCCAGTCGGAACAAAACAGTAGGATGTTAAACCTCATTTTATTTCCATCTATAAAACTAAAACTTTAAATGTTGAGTCAGCAATTCATGGCAAATAAGTTGCGGGACCTTGAGTCTAAGTCTAGTCCTAAGTCACCGTAACTTGAGTCCAAGCCGAGTCTCAAGTCGATGACCTTAGTACGGAGTCAAGTCTTCACAAAGTCTGAGCCCTGTTCAAGTCGTCAATTCATCTAATGAGTCAGCAATTAATTGGTAAGTTAAGAGTTATGCTCCCTCGATGCAACTCACGTTGTAAGCTCTTACAAATTGCTTGTCATCATGACTGCCGAGCCCGAGCCAAGTAGCAATAAATATTTCATGTCTAGTCATTTATGCGAGTTCAGTAAATATTTGCTTAGCCCCTGATCAC